TAGCGCTAATATGTCGCTTTTAAGACAGTAAACACATTACTCTGACGTCAAACATGTCTCTCCGCCGGTCCGTTTAAGTCCAACAAAATTCTTTTTTTTTTTTCAAATATCTTAACGCCCGCTGTTAGACTGCATTTAGCTTTAAACTGTACTGCACTAGCTAACGGTTAGCTAGTTACGTCACAGTGGAGGCATTCGTCTGTGATGTAATGAGAGTCGGAGGAATCAGCAGAATGCAACCGGTGCTGCTCTGGACGTTTCGTGTGTCAGAAGACGTAGTGCTGGCACGCATGCATGCCACACAATTCAACACTTACTGTCCTTACTAGGAATTGCGTATAATATTCCTTTATTTTTTTTTAAGCCCTTTTTTCCTATATGTGCCTTTTATTTGGGTAGAAAGTGTTTTCGGTTAGAAATTAAAATGAAAACAAAAGGAGGAAATTAAAAAAAAGTACAAAACAGATGGCAAAAAAAAAGACATAAAATAATGTCGATAAATTTAAAAAAAAAAAACCTATTCCAACCTCCATCTCTTTGTCATTCATTTCACGTAAACCTCGCTCGTTCAGTAAACTGCCTTTCTGGTCGACCAAGCAGAATTCCCAGACTGCTCTGCGGCTTTAGTTCACACCTTTTTTTTTTCCACAGGAATCTCTGGAATCCCTTGCTTCCTTTCCATTGTGTGTGTATGTGTGTGTGCTGTAAACACATCTCCACCCAGAGAAAGTGCGCTTCAGCCCATAATGGAACCAGTCACTCTTTTGTCTCGGTGAAATAGAAAGAAAATTATGTAAATGTCAGATTTAATCGACGTCGACAACGAACCTACCTACACCAGCTTTCTAATCCGGAGAGTTCAACGACATCAGCTGCACGCGAGCCCGGTCAACTGCTACTGTTTTATTTATTATATGTACCGACTTTAAAAGCTTATTTTCGTTGCTCAATTTTAGCCTTTAAAAAGCAACATTTCTTTTTTATTAAAAGAAAACCTGGAATTGATTGACATCTTTCAAAACAAAACTGATGTTAAAACATATGTTAGCATTGGCTACCGTGTACAGGGCGTCCTCACTTTACCATGTCCTCGACTTACGACGTTTCGCGGTGACGTCGCCATCTCCCGTATGTTTATTTAGAACGAGTTGGCGAGTCGACCAGACGGATACGTCATCACGTAGGAAGACGGCTTTGTTTGTGCTACGTTCGCTTTGTTTTCTTTGTGTTGTTTCTTTTGGAACCTTTTTTTTTTTGCCCTTCATTATGGCTGTACGTCGCCGTCTCCCGTTTATCTGTTTATTCAGAAAGTCCTGTTCCGTCATTTCCGACGTACGGCGTTGAAACTTGCCAACTTGTTGTCACGGGAACGAGTTGGCGAGTGGACCAGACGGATACGTCATCACGTAGTGCTATAGGCGGAAGACGGCTTTGTTTGTGCTACGTTCGCTTTGTTTTCTTTGTGTTGTTTCTTTTGGAACCTTTTTTTTTTTGCCCTTCATTATGGCTGACACAGACTCTTCTTATTTTATCTTTTATTTTTGTATATTTTTTTAATACTAATTTATTCATATTATCATTATATTTCTACCTTTTCCTTGCAATACCCACGTTTCCCCAGTAGATGGCGTAGAAAATTATAAAAGCATTTTAGCATTTATTCATGACTCTTACATGCCATTTACGTTAGTTCACACCAACGCTCCATCTCTCTGCTCCTGATATAAAAGCATTTAAGCATTTATTCATGACTTTTACATGTCATTTACGTTAGTTCACACCAACGCTCCATCTCTCTGCTCCTGACCCGGCCCTCCCTGTTCAATTTTAGGTCCAATTGTGGCCCGCGAGTCACAAGTTTGCCCACGCCTGTCCTAGATTATGCCTAACACTGATGCGTTTGAGTGTATGTGAGCGACGCAGGTACTTATGGCCAACAAAGATGGCGTCACGTCACGCCGTAAAAACAGAATTCTGACGTAAGTTGAGGACCCCTTCCTCGTCTTCCCCTTCTCTCCTCCGTCCTCCACCAGGTTGAAAAAGACATTCAGCTATGGCGGCGGTACGTCACTGAGTGCCGCTGCCGCTGCCGGTGTTGGCTGTGACTCACTCACTCACTCACTCAGTCGCTGAGTCACAGACTCGGGTCACTGGAGAGACACATGAGTGTACAGTAGGTGAAAGGTCACCGTACGCACGGCGAAGACGTCTCCACATCATCAGAGGCGTCGGGGCGGGAAAGTAAAATGTCTCAGCTTCCACTTTAAAATCATCCCAGGGATTTTTCTCTCTGGATCGGCAGACGTTTAAACCCCCCCCTCCCTCGCTCTGATCTGCTGCCTCTGTGTCGGAGCGTGGAAAAAGTCGCGCTGTTTCATTGGTTAAAAAAACGGAATGGGTGAATACATAAGATTCCAGTGAGTTGACTGGTGAAAGGGTTGTGTGTTTTTGTTTTTTTTTTTGTTGTTGTTGTTATCCCTCATGACTAGTTAGCTAGCTAGTTCGATGGTTTAGTTGTTAGCTTGAGTTGTTAGCTGGATTTCTGTTCGGCTGTTTGGCCTCTAAACGGCACGGCGGCCGGCCGCCGTGCCGTTTACTTTTTACCATTGCCGTCATTGTCAAGCGTAGCGGTGGCACCGAGACATTAATACAGTGTACAGTGCGTCAAGAAGGTGTGGGACATCTGACCGAAGGGACATATGAGTGTGAGTGTGTGTATGAGTGTGTGTGTGCATATTTAATTGTAGGTCAAATCTTACTTTTAAGTCCGGCTCCTTCCATGACTCACCGAGCGTACTTAAAAAAATATATGAATGAATGAGTGTGACAAAGGTGGTGTCATTGCGTGAGTGTGTGTATAATTTGGGTGTAGTGTGGCTTCTTGATGAGTCACATGGCCTGCTGTGAGTAACCAACCAGCAATGTTATTCTGGACTGCTATTCACAATCCAGAGTCCACCCTGGCTCCACACTCCACGGCAGGAAGAAGGAGGAGCAGGAAAAGGTGGAGCAGGGCCGGGCAGGGTGGGGTGTCAGTTACACGGCCGAACCGATGTAGGTGTGGTTGGCTGAAAAGAATCAGTAGGGGCAGAGTGTGTGGGTGGCGGGGACGGCGGGGGAGGGAAGGAGGGGGAGGTAAAAGTGGAAAAGAAGATGTGGGGTCAGGAATCACGAATCAGGAAGCGGGACTTGTGGATGCAGGCGGAGGGTGAAGGGTGGAGACCAGGATGGTGATCTAAGACCCAGGTCAGGCTCGGGTCACCGTAAGTGGTGTTAGGGGCCAACAGGTGGCGGTGACCTCCTCATCTCTCTTCAGATGTGTGTTCTTTTAAAAGAGATAGTTGAGATGTTTTGGAGTGTAGTCATAGGAGGGAGTGATGAGGAATCAGCAGGGACAGACCGGCTACAAAAAAGCAAATAAAATAAAATAAAAT